ACTTCTAATTTAGGAACTATGAATTGCATTTTGTAAAGATTCGGCCTACCTCGTCTAAAACTCGCATGCAAATTTATTTTAACTTGCTTTGATGGGACCCCGACGGGTCTTTAATAAAAATTATCTATCTATCTATCTATCAAAAGTTAGGAAAAATCTCCTAACCGCACCCCGGATACCCATAACCTTCTTTGATACTTTGGCGCAGTGACGAATGCCTTGAGAGTTGACGCCATCCACAAATCGAGGTCTCTGAACTCGTTGACTGCTTCGACTTGGCGACCTCCCATTGAGTAGTGAGATCCAAATGTCAACGGCCTCCTGTTGGTAGATCGTAATCGGATAAGTTGACATTGGTTAAGCTTGAGGTTAAGACACAATATATCAGAATATTGTTACTGGCGATTCAGATTGTTCTGTACTTGTAGGGAGTCTTCCGGTTTCTTCGTGGACTTCCCCAACTTGTGATCATCTGCATACATTATCCACTCAAAGTTCAGACAGTCCAGGCAATAGCCCGTATATATTAAGAATATAATTGGACCCAGAAATCTTGCCTACGGAACGCCACTGTGAACAGTAGACAGTCTGCCCCAGCCATACCAGGATGCTCAACCACTTCCATCTTTGCTGCCTTCGCAGAAATATTAAAGTTGAGATGACAAGAAAGGATACCCGACACAGAAGTTATATAACGGGCGGAAATCCCCATCTTCCATACCATGCTGCGGTAACTTCAGCTACCCTAGAGCGACTACCTCACGAGGATGAACATACACGTCTGTCAAAACAGCTCTTCTATGATAGAGTTGCGAAAATTCCCATTGTAAAATTCAAAAGGCAATTTGGCGAGCATACGTTTGCTTTCGATAAATTCTCTTCAGGCCTGTACATTTATATGGCTATTGAAGTAATGAATGCAAAAGATACGGGTAGATAGGGGAGGGGGAGACACCATGATTCCAGTCAGCGCCAGGGGGAGGGTGGGTCCCGGCGAATGCAGTTACATGCGGGTGTCTGGCTTGGTGGCTTTGGCCCATGGTAACTGTGGGGCCTGCACGAAATTCTTCTGCGCGCATAGGACCGGCCGGCGTAGCCTAATTGCAGCCGCCTCTGCCGTTGCCAACAAGCGCTGCCCAAGCAGTTTTGGATTGCTTGATGGGACCTTGTAGATCACTCTGAAGGCCTCTGTGGCGTCTACACGGTGGCCTGTGTCTACCATGATAATGTCGCCACCAGTGCTCGCTGACAGAAAGGACCAAAAGGATGATACAAGGCACGTTGAAGAATCCTCTTATGCGATTTCACATTAATCCAGAAAACTGGGAGGACCTCGCCCAAAACAGGCCGACCTGGAGAAGAGAAGACTGGCGATGCCATCTACAAAGTTAATACGATCGCCGCCGCCAAAGATTAACGGGAGGGTCGCAAGTCTCTCGCCTTCTCATTGTCAACCATTAACCGCTTTCAAAGTGCCCCCGCTGCCAACGCGCATTCTGCGAAAAAATCGGTCACCGCTTGGACTCGGTTCATACCTGTCTTCACTTCGATCTCACACATCGGCATGGTCCGTCACTTGCGAATCCATCGCAAGAAGACTGGCGAACCGGTGCCTGGAACACTAACATACACTCGCTGCATTCGCCTCAACTGTCCTCATTGAAGCCGCACAGTCATTCACCGCATGGACCTATAAGGACACATGCGCGTTTATAAAAACCTGCAGTAAACAGCCACCGCCTATGCAACTCCATCACAGTTTGTCCACCGACGACTGCACTTCTCAAAAGCATTGTGGTGGTCCGCGCCTCCCGGCATTCAGCTGATTTGTCACGCTGTCCCCCCATCTGCTTCACACTCTTCGTCGAATCACTGCTGGGATGCGCGATGTTTGTCACTGTTCTCGCTAGCGCTCGAGGCAAGTCAACGCTGCCTCTTATCTGCTCGGCTGGCGAAACTGAGACAGGGCGAAAAACACCCAGTAGCACTGATGTCTATGTGTCTCAACGGCGGACAAAGACGACAAGCTGCCATTAGAGACCGCTCGCGGCGACTGCTGCAGAGCCTATGTGCACGCACTGTCATGGCAGTGAAGGTTGTCAAATCAAATCCGTCTTCATTGAGTTCTGATTTGGGAACGTTTGCATGTCGACCACACAACATTGACACCATCACCCATCTAAAGCGCCAATCGCCACATATCACGCAAGTGGAAAGCGTGAATCTCGGCTCCTCCATGCGAATGCATGCGTGACCCGAGTCTGAAAAAAACATACCGAACGAAGGGCCGAGGCACAAAAGGCTGCCGATTGCGACCCCAAAAGAGTTGGCGGACTGCATTGTACATCTTCAGTTTGGTAGCCATTTGGATGCCGTGACGATTACGCACGGATTTCTGCAGCCGGCTGCAGGTTTGATTGGCTTTGGAGATCCGGTGGCCCTTTCATCGTCGATTGTGATGCAGCGTGATATTGTACAGTCTAGATAGTGGAAGTTATCCATGGGATTCAATTTGGTGCCGTTGACGCGGATCCGTGGGATACTGTATTCAGCGTTTGATGACTGTTGATGAATGACTACCGTCTAGTCCATATTGATGGTCAGTTCGAAGTGGACTTAGTCGCAGGTGAAGACGTCCTTGCTTCGTTGCATTTTTTCATTGGTTGCCCCGTTGAGTGCGCAGTTATCAGCGAAGAGCAGATCATCGATAGTAACTGTGGAGAGACACGTCGAGGTCTGCATACGCCGGCTGTTAAGAAGGTGCCCGTCCGTCCTGTAGTCGATGCAGCGCCTGGGTAGTTCATCACGGTAGGCGTCCACGAGGATGACGGAGAAAATGATACTAAGGGGCGTGGGTGGGAGTACGCAGCTCTGGTTCACCCCATTGGTCACTGTGAGTGCCTCAGAGCTTGTGTCCTTGTCCGTGACGCACGCCATCATCCCGTCGTGGAGCTGACGTACCATGTGCTTGAATCGCTCGGGAGAGCCCAACTTCTGCATGATCTAATAATAATAATAATAATTTTTATTTAAGACCCGTGGGGGTCCATTCATAGCAAGTAAGAATCCAGATTCCCTTGCGGTTCACCGTGTCAAAGGGTTTCGTGAAATCCACGAGGATGGTATAGAGGTGAGTTCACATCTACTGGAACTTTCTTGTAGCTGGCGGGCAGCAAATGTCGTATTGGCGGTTGGGCGGTGTTGCCGGAATACACATTGACTTTCCGGCAGAAGTCTTTGCTATTGGTGGCCATTGAGACGATTGGGGAGGACACAGACGAAGATCTTCCCGACGGTGCTGAAAAGCGAGTTGCTCCTGTGATTGTCACAGAATTGCCGGTTTCCTCTGAGTTTGTACAGATCCGCAATGACTGCGTCTTTGAAATTCTGAAAAACCTGCCCGCAGAGCCACATCGCCTGAAATAACGCCGTCAGGTGGTCTATCAGTCGGTGGCCGTGTGCTTGTAGATTTCAGCTGAGATCGCATCGGAGACGGGTGTTTTCCTGCTGGAGAGTTCTTGCACGGTGCGGATGGTTATTGGTAGAAAGGGTGGGAGATCCAGGTCTGTGTTGGTTTTCACTCAGGGGAGCCGGTCGATGGAGGCGTCAGATATTGTGGACTGATGGTTGAGGACGATTCTGAAGGGCTCGATCCAACGCTTCAGAATCTGCGACTTCTCCGCCAGAGGCGTCGACCCATCGGAGGTGAGAAGCTGCGCAGTGTTTTTGTTTGGAGGCCGTAGATTGTCTTGGTCGCAGCGAATAAGTTCTTTGTGTCGTTGCGGTCAGCATACCCCTGGATTTCCTCGGCCTTTTGAGCCATCCAGGCGTCCTGAATTTCGTGCAATCGCTTCAGCGCAAGCCGGCGACACCGGTAGATGGTCGCTCTGTTAGCATCGACTAGACGGTTGAGGTAGGCTCTGTTCAGCCTGTTTTTCCTGGTGAGCAGGTCACTAATGGTTGCGTCGTTGTCATCAAGCCAGTCCAGGCAGAGACAACAGAGCGGCATTTAGCTTGCCTGGGGGTCTCTTACTTTGTGGCCTCCTGCGCATTTGCAGACGGAGCCTCATCCTGAAGATGTCGGGGTCATGATCCGTCCAGCCATCAGAGCCGCGGACTGTTTTGGTCAGCATCACGTCCTGCCGATCTCGCCGCTGGACGAGGACATAATCAGATGCCAGCAGATGCCAACGCCACAATCGAGGATAAGGATGAAGTAATGTTCTGTAACGTCCAATGACCTCTTCAGGGTTGTTTGAATGAAGAAACACTTTTTGGAGCGCGAGATTGGGATGGGGATGGTGTAACTGCGTGCTGGAGAAGATGGCCGGTGTCCCTTTCCCCTATCTCTGCCGATCCCCTTCCCCGCAACTTACCGTTTCTCCCCTACCGCCCTCTGTCTCTCTCTTCGTCAACACCGCCTTCGTCCCTACCCTGAATTTGCCCGAAACTCTGCGTTCCCCATCGGCTAATAAGCTAGCATATCTTTCTCTCCTCTCTCTCCAGACACATATATCCCCTGTTTTATCTCATCCATCTAGTACAATTTCCTATAAATTTACTCATTGCCAATTCCCATCTCCGTCCATTATATCTTATCTCCTCCTTGTCGTTCCTTCTTCCTTTAAGTGCAGATGTGTATCGCAAGTTACTAACAACCCTATTCATATCAACGTTAGCCAGGATCTCTTCCCAGTGCTTTGCGACTTTGGTGTCTGCTATCCTTGACGTCCTCGGCTGCTATAGTTTTGCACAATTTCGCAAAAGAGACTGACCATTGTCGTTTGAACAGCCGAGGCCATGAGAACCCAGAAGTCCTCTCTAGGCCGTATGGTCTGTGCCAACGCAGGGTTTGAAGTCACCGAGGGCAATCAACTTATCCGCCTTCAGCATAGTTGCCATGAGGGCATTCAGTTGTTCACAAAACCTGGACTTCGCCTCGTCTGAGCCATCCATGATTCGGGTGTAGGCGCTGATGATGGTGGCAAATACGCCTCTCTGAAGAGACAGATAGAGGGTCGCTGGTCAGTCGTCGATGCCTTGTAGCAGACAGGGCAGTCGTTCCACGATGTCGTATCGGATGGAAAAGGCGACGCCCGCCTCACCTCTCTCTGCTCTGGGGCGGCCGCTCCAGAATAGGGTGCAGCCAACACCCGCCTCCTCCAGTTGACCTTGTTCGGAGAACTGACTCCCGCTGAATGCAACGGTGTCCACCATATATTGCAATAGTCTCCAAGCGACTAGCCCGTCCTTCTTTCCGGCCGATGACTTATGGGATTTTCTAAAGAGGAACGAACATTCCAGGCTGCCAAAATGAGCGATGGGGAAGAGGAGGAAGAGGCGTAGAGAGTATTTTGTCTTGTGTCTTGGTTTCGACCGCGTGTTTTACATCTGCGAACCATGGTCTGCGCAGTTGTCGTGAGTCCAATTTCGTCTAGGACATATTTTATAGCCCCCCCCCCTCCTCAAGGGAAAAGCAATACACCCCGTTAGTAGAGTTGCTTTATCGCATTTGACGGATGCCGCTGTACACTGTGGGTCGCGGAGCTTAGTTAGAGAACGACCAATGGCCCGGGCCGCCAACGTGATTGCCATTCGCCTTCACCGCGGGGAAGAGAATAGAGTAGACAGTCGAGAGATTGAAGAGTGAGGGCAGAGGAAAATGGGGGAAAAGGGGGAGAAGGGGAGAGGAATGAAGAGGAAGAGGATGGGAGGAAGAGGTTAAGGACTAGGAGGACGGAGGATGGGGGGAGAAAAGAAGGAGAAGGGATGCGACGAAGGTGGGGGACGAAGCGGGGTTTGGGGGGGGGGCGGGAGAGGAGCAGTAGTACAATGTGGGGGATACACAGGGATACCCTCGCCTTGTTTGGCCAACTTGTCGAGGCGGTCACCGGGGTGTGACCGCTAGACAGAGCCTAGCTTCGAGGAGTCACGTGTGAGGATTGGATGCCAGTTAATAGACGCTAGGCGTTGCCACACCTGCAATCAAGTGAGTGACCGACTACGGCCTTTATGTGGGCCTACAATTGGGCGCCACTGATAAAGACCGCCAGACACATACACACTATCCGCAGGCAAATAGTAGCACTCAAGAGACGTGCACGTCTATTGGCGTTACTTTCTCTTGACCGTGACGGATAACCGGTAAGTCGAGTTCTAAATCTGTAACACGGGGCGCTTTGCATTTCTGAGAGAGAGAGAGAGAGAGAGAGAGAGAGAGAGCAAGATAAATTAAGTCTCTCCGAGTTTTGCGAGCTGATACTACGTAACTGCTCACAGTACCAGTTAACTGATTCACTTAATATATATGTTTAGGATTTCGTAGCGTTAATCAGTAGCAGAAGTCTCCCTACAGGAAGCTCCCACTCAATGTGCAGTTGGCCTATGCTCAATATAGACCGTATGTTCGAAGACAAACGCAGTACGATCGTTCGATCCCATTATTATGTTATCGTTTAAGTACAGCACAGAGCCCCCGCTCTAGACTAAGGAGGAGATTTAGGCAGATTTAAACTTGTTCTGCCTTAACGCGTGCTCAACATGCTACTTTTCTGCACAGAAAATCTCCAGATGAGTTCCTTGCAAATATCAGGTTCTTGGGACAATCATTGAAAAAAACCATCCCGCCATTTGTTTTCGGACGTAAAAATGGACTGGGCTATCTGTTGTTATTCCAGCACCTAGCCTTATTACTGGGCACCCTTCACATCCACTCAACAATCAACGTCTAGGATTCTAACTGGCTGCCTGGCATATATCAGTCACCCAAAAATAATTAGCAGAAAGCGGTTTGCTAGTGCTCCAACAGCATCAAAACCGTAAAAATTTCAGTGGTATCGACAAGTAATGCCACTTCAGAAGATTAACAACATCGATATGAATAGGGAGCTCAAGGGCGAAAGCCTCATTCCCTTAATAAACTGACTTAAGCTGACTTAAACTGAGTAACGCTGGGATATGTTCCTGTCCATTCCAGTTTAGCCCTGTCTTTAGATCGGGGTCATGCGCTAACAGGGTCTTATCTACAGTAAAAAAGGCGCCGTCATCATTATTATACAAAAAGTCCATAACACAGAAACATAGAAACTATTGACAGTGCAGAAAAATAGACAAGTTTTTCAAAATCTCCCTTTCCAGACGAACTTACAAAAATATGACTCAACAAATCAAATTCTAGAGTAAGAGTACAAACAATTCTGTATGCATGGACATCTAAAAATTGGAGGTGAATAGACAAAAATGTAGATATTTCCGTTGTTATTTGCCAAATGGTTTTTAATGTTCGGGTGTATTTTCGTAGGAGAGGCATCATTGCCTCTAAGCCCCCAAACATTCACAACATTTACATTAAATTGAGGAAAGTGATTCGCGCGTGGGATCCTATCAAAGGTCGCGCTTCAAGGTTGCGATTCGACCGCCAACTTTGACGGTGAACCAGTTTGGGAGCACTTTAGGCATGGCTCTGGACAGGAGAGTTTCCCTGCTGTTTTCTGCCCTTCCCAACAAAAGTATTTATTATTTGCTTAAATCTATTTTTGGCAAGCACTGTGTACGGCTGACGAGCGCACGGTTATTGTTCTTGTCGGGTTGCCAGCCAGGGGCAAAACATATATATCAAGAAGGTTGACGCGCTACCTAAACTGGATTGGCATCAACACTCGAGGTACCCGTTGCAAACTCTAACAGTCCTTCTTAGTTTTTAATGTCGGTGACTACCGTAGAAAGGCTACTTGTGAGAAAGGGCATGACTTTTTTGACGACTCCAATACAGAAGCTGCATCTATTCGAATGTGAGTGTTCTAGTTTTTACACGTTATATCAGATTTCTTGCCCTCAAATTCTTAAGACTAAATTGCCCAATGTCCTACCCTTTTCTCTGACATCAATTACAGTATGTTAGATAAGTGTCCGTGCGAATAAGCCAGTGTCCGTATTTTACTTTAATATCAAAGGAGAATACGGACACATATGTTGTCAAAATCTGTAAAAAAAATATTTTCTCGAACGACAGACTTTCCAAAGTCTACATTCTGGCGTAACTGACTTATGCATACTAAAAATTTACCATCTTACCTCTTAGTTAAACAAGTATTCGCCCAGATACTACCTTACCTGTTATCCGAGATTGAGGTTGTGGCGCAGTTTGGTCTCATGTCGAAGGTTTCACAGGGCAGAATTTCATAAGGGTCGAAAATGTCTTTAAGCATAAGTGCGGTTTTGTTTTATGATGTCTTAAAATATTCGTTAGTGCGCCTATTTTTCTTAAAAACCATACCCGTTCCACGTTAAATTAGAGGAGCAAACCCAGGGTACTTGGGTTGTTTGTTTGATATCCACTTTGGTTATGGAAGCAGCGCCCAAGTAAATATGACGTTCTGCTTCTATTTCAAATGGTGTTTATGCAGGCCACGAGTAAGTGGCATGTCCTACATCGTCGTTCTATGCCTACAGCCTCCTACCTGCCTCGATGTCGCACACTCAAAAGTTCAGTTTACACTCCATCATACGAGGGATGATCTGCCTCTCACTGTTCGGCATTGTATAAACGTAGGAAGACAAGAGAACTCTCGAAGTGAATGATTCAGTCAATCATCACGACCTTTTAAGTTATGATATTTATCTTTGTCAGGTCAGCAAATACGGCTACATCTGAACACATTCCTACAGACTGACGAAAACTGTAGCAGAGAGAGAGAGAGGGAAGGCACAGTTTTCCAGAAATACCTATAGGGTCATCTGGACACGATTTGGTGTCTCACACCTGACGTTCATTCCATTGTGGCCCCAGTTGGCGCCTAGCTCTCATCTGTTATTCCACGAAGCTAGGCGGAAATGATTGCTACATCCGGATAATTACTTTGTTTGTCGGCAAAAGCAATATGAGAGTGGTTGATGTGTCACTCTAACACTAAGGAACTTACGCATAAAGTCTACTTTGGTTATTAAAGAGGGGTGTGGTGACACACCGAGGTGCGGGTTCATGCTGCGCCTGTCACCTGCGTCTTCGCC